TATGTAAATGCAATAAGTGTACTTATCTATGCTTAATAGAATGCTATTCTTGCTCAGATGAACGAAACCTAAAATGTGTTTTGGTAGCAACACTCTGGAGTTTCAATAACTGCAAGCCTGGGTGTGTAGGAGGGTCCGGCTGCTAACTTCCACGCAGTCCCCTTTGTGTCGCTCCTCACTGTACTGTACCAGCCAGACTTCAGAGAGAATGCTCTGCAATTACACTGCCTGGGTTCCAATCCTGGCTTTACCATGAAATAGTTGAGTGACCTTGTGCAAGGTACTTAACCTCTCTTTACCTCAGTTTCCTCACTTGTAAAAGAAGGATAATATTAGCACTTTCTTCATTGCACCATTAGGATAAGTAAATGAGTTAATACCTGAAAAGTGTTAAAATGGATCCTGGCAAATAATAATAACTGACACTGTTTTAGGAACTTTACATGTATGCATTATTTAATCTACAAAACAATCCCAGGAGATAGGTACTGTTGGGAAAATAGAATAGTTTGGTCAAGGCCCTCGACTTGGGTCCAGCTGGGTGTGGTTTTAGCACATCCTTTGCAAGCAAATTGTGTGTGTGTGTGTGTGTGTGTGTGGAGTTAGTGCACATCCACACCAATGTATCTTTTTAGTTTTGTTGTTATTCTTGTGTTCTTGAGAGAGAGAGACAGAGAGAGAGACAGAGAGAGAGATAGATAGATAGAGAGAGAGAGAGAGAGAGAGAGAGAGAGAGAGGAGTTTCAGTGAAGCAGGCAGGTAGGCGTTGGCCTCGGGCATCCACCCGCACAGCCATGCTTTCCAACCTATGGCTCCAAGGACCTTTTGGCCGGTTACCTAGTCCATAGACCTGCATGAAGGGGTCTGGTGACCCAGCCTGGCATGCAAAGGGTTTGTGACCCAGTCTGTGAATGGGCTTGAGGCGTCTGTGGGCTCCAGACCCAGCCTTAGCTTGACAATTGGCCCAGTTGGTGCAGATTACCAGCAGGTAAAAGAGCCCAACAACTAGCGTGGTCACCTAGCTTTACAATTGGCGTCACGGGCAGGATTAATAGCACTACAATTGGCTATGTCGACAGGATTCAGACATTAGCTATGGCTCCACAGGTACCATGACTACTCTCATTTTATAACTTCATAAATCGAAGCACAGAAAGACTGATTAACTCATCCCAGTTCACTCGGTTAGTAAATGGAGGGCTGGACTCAAATCATCCACATCAACCACTCTGGTCTGGATCCACGTCAACCACTGAGTCAACATTACCTATTACTATTACTGTTATTATTATTACTACCTGAACTTATGCATGCAATAAATATTTAAAGCTGCTGCTGCCACTGCTAAAGAATTTGTATGCCTAATCCTTCTTCAAAGTGTATCAAAAATATATATGACCCCCAATGGAAAAGTCAATTTTGGCAAGGATTATCACCTAAAATTATTGGATGAAAATTTGCTGGGAAATAGGATATTAGCACAGTGCCAAAGTGTCACCCCTCAGATTACTTGCTAATTGCAAAGGAGAAAAAAGTACCTTTACAATGAGAGATCTCTGGAGCAAGATCACTCCCTTGAGTCATGATCAAACTTGGCATCACAAATAGTGGAGCAACCTGGCATTATGCGCCTCCTGAGAAGATGCAATATAAAGCACCCAGCAGCACCTTGTAAAAAATATTCAATCAAAATCTAATCATGAATATTCTTAGCTGAACCTAAGATCTACCTAGGATGAATCTGAATAATAGAGTGGGGTTAATAATCCCCTGCTATTTCATTAATGGTTATATTGAAGCCTACTGTAAGAAGCACAGTTGAGAAAGCCTGGAGACAGAGTGAACATAGTAGACAAGAGATCTCAGTATTTTGGCAAGACACCTTAGGACCCTTAAAGTGAAAGGGGAACCACAACTACAATATATTCTAACTTAGTGGATATGCTGCAAACAAGAATGAGGTACTGATTTGTGGCAATCTGTAAGATCTATTGTTCAATGAATAAATCAAGACGTAGAATGTTGTAAAAAAATCTAATCATGCTTTTAGCCCTGACTTGGAATTTACAGGAAGTACAGGGAGTAGAGGAACAAATTAACTATTAGGCAACGAGAACAACATGGGACATTCTACAAGATAACTGGCTTAACCTTTAAAAAAACCCAGTGTTGAATAAAGAGACATATAAACCAAATGCAAAATATTTTCTCATTGTAAAGATATCTTTTCCCCCTTTGCAGTTAGCAGGTAATCTGAGGGGTAAAGCTTTAAAAACATTTTTATTTTTTAAAATTAGATCTTTTTTTTTTTCTTTAGATGGTCTAAAAAACTTTTGGGGGACAAACGAAGAAGCTTAAATATGGACTAGATATTAGATGATATTAAGGAATTACTGTTTATCTTCTTAGGTATAATAATGGTATTGTGGTTTATTTAGGAGAACATTCTTTTTCTCAGATGTATACTGATGTGTATTTAGGGGTGAAGTGTCATTTACATGCAACTTACAAGTAATTCAGAAAGAAATACACATAGAGCAAATTTGGCAAAGTTAGTAGTTGTTAAACCTTAGTAGTGAATATAGAGGTATTCACTGTACTAATATTTATGCTTTTCTTTACGTTTAGACATTTTCTTCACTTTTTCCATGAGATATGCATATGTCTTACACCTTCTTCAGAGAGCGTGTAATACTTCTATCTCATGTACTTTGTAAAAATTTCTTTTAGTTCTCAAAAAGTTTTGTCTGTGAATGTGTATTTAAAAAGAAAACTATTTTTAAAAATTGATTTCTGAATTCCTATTGGCTCAAGTTTATTGAAACTTAATGTTAACATTGTTGAAGAGAACTCATTGCCTAGTGCAGGGCCTGACACAGAGCAGTTGCTCAATAAATGTTGGTAAAATGTTTGTTTGTCAAATGAGGGTATGCTTTCCTGAGGATTGTCAAGTGACCCCCCCCCTCAAAAAAAAGGGACGCACGAGACTGTGTTGTCCATTATGGATCATGATATGCTGGGCACATATTTCGGATGGACAAAATGGGGCTGATTGACTCTATACTTTGTTTCAAATAACTTAGCTCATGAAGATTCTTGAACAAGTTTTGTGTTTGTTTTGTGGGGGCATGTAAATAATCTGTCCCTAGGATTAATCTAGCAGCAACAGTTACTTGTTTAAGAAATCCTGATGGAATCACACTTAATGACACATTTTTTTAACAATTGCAGACTTTTCTTGATCCAAGAAAGAGGCAAGCTGTGCTCAAGTTTAGACATGGACCCTATAAGTCACCAACACCAGCAGGTGTTATTCTCTGGGAGTCAATACAAATGGGGGAAGTAGGATCATTTTTAGCTCTTCTAGAAGGCAATGGTTATAAAAGAGATGGCTTCGGGCAGTAAGTGACATACATTTTGTAAAAGAAGTGGAAAGAAAATGATCAAGATCCACAGAAATAATTAACAATATCATTTTGCATTTTCATAGTGCCTTTGTCCTAAGGCACTGCGTATCTATGTTAACTCATTTAGTCTTACAATATTCCTGTGAGGTAGATGTAAAACAATTGAAATAAAAAAGAAAAGGGATTTCCATCAGGATCTAAGATGTGGAAGATATTCAAAAGGATATTATATTAGCAACAGAGATATTTCTTCACATCAAACAGATAGATCACCTTCTTCCCCTCTGCTTCAGTAAAGTCATTTTTAAAAAGATAAAATCTATTACAATTTAGGGAGAGTAAGACTTCAGTTTACTCCACGGGAGACACTCAAAGTTCAGTCTGAAAAGGTTGTTTTATTCAATGACATAGGGCCACCTTTCTTTTACAAAAAACATGCAAAATAGTTCTTGAAAAGGGTACAAATCAGAATTTTAAAAAATTTGAAATTTAAACACACTTAGGTGGTTCTCTATTTTCATAGTGTTCTTTAATAGTCGATGCTTTTGTAGAGTGGATTGTTTTAAATTTATTTCATAAATATGAAATTTTACACACAACCCTGTTTTGTTAAAGGAGAATAATATATACTTAATGTTCTTTCTGAAGCCAAAAATAAGAAAGAAAAAAAAAGGGACCCGGTAAAGAACTAAACAGCTTTTAATAAATGTAGTTGCATAGAACAAAAGATTCTTCAAACTGAAGTTTCCCATTCTCAGATAACATGAAATTTTTCCATTGGATTTTTAGATCCTAAACATTTCCCACCTCTTAACTTATCTAGGGGGTGTATGTTTTCAATAATGTGCAAATTAAGTTATATATACGTTATGAACAAGGCCCAACTCCAGGTGTGTAAATATGATCATTTCTGAGTTAATGAAATCTTCGATGGGTGTATCCAATCCTCATGTTCAGGAACAGTTAGACTAAGCATAAAAGTGCAATTTTCAGACTGGACACCTAAACTAGAGAGAGTGATAGGGATATAGCCTAACTATTAATAAAGACAAAGATAGACAACACACTCTCAAAATATATTTCAGCATAAAGTTTTCTTTTTGTAAATGAACCAAAACTGGTGTTCTTTGTAAAGGTAACATAAATACAGAACTAGAATTCGAGCAGAGAGAAATCCTGACCTGAGTGCTGGTGTTCATTCATTCGTTACCGCTCAGCCCTCCACTGCTCCCCACACCTCCCAATTTGGATTACATGTTGACTATGATAAAGTGGAATTTTACCTCTGTGGCCCCAAGGTCTGAGGTCTTTCCCTGAGATGGTTCTGAAGCCAATTAGTGGAGTTTATTGTGTTATGGGCTGGGGAAAGAGCGAGTCTTCTCCCAGTTCATTTGATAGAAGTTGAATCCTATCACCACAAATATTGTTGCAGCAAAAGAATACAGACCTTAATGGGCTAAAACATTAAAAGCAATATTTAAAGAGCCCGTGGGATTCATTTTAATTAGATTTGACTCATAGAGAACACTTTGCATATTATAAAACTCTTCAAGTTTCCTAGAATATGTGTACTGATGTTGTATAATGACATACCTTTTGGAAGAGAAGAGGTTGAGTTTGTGTCTTGGCTTTGACACCAAGTTATTAGAATCCTCTTGCAGGAAGGAAGGTGAATTCAAACATCAAAATTACTGCGTTTCAGAGTATAGATCCACCTTGTGCTGTCTTCCAAGTACCACACTGAAAGCGTGTGCAAGCTTACACATCCATTAACAGTGCCTCCTCCTCCCTGCCTCCAAACTACCCCCAGTCAGCCCTGCAGTCTGTAGGCAAACCACACAGGAACTAGCAGATACAGGGCTTCAGAGAGTTGGGTGTGAGCCTTAGATTATGTGGTTTTGTTTTCTTGCTGCCAGAGTTCAACTAAAATGAAAGAGGTTCAACGAAACACTTTTGCTTCTTTATGCTTGGTTTCAGTTTTAATAATATTCCCCCTGAGCACTTACGTTCACATAAGAAAATTTCTAGTCCTAGATATGGTCGATCAGCAAGCTTATGAAAAATCCTCATTTTCTCGTAGTATATCCATGCCTCCATAGAAATATTAGGGCTTTTGGGGGGAACTTATTTAAAACCACCCTTGATCACTCACAATGTTAAAATCCCTGAGAAAATGCTTTCTTTGTGTACTCAGCCCATAATATTACTCTTAGCCCATAATATTACTCTTGACAAAAAAAAAAAAGGAAGAAAAGCTCTGAGCTGGGAGGAGTTCTAACCCCAGGTCTGCCATAGTCCAGCATGACCAGTTCCTTAGATTTCTAGGACTTCATTTTTTCTTGAGTAGGTTGGACTAAAGGCTTTCTGGGATTTTAACATTTTTCACTGATCTGGAGTTTTGTCACCTTCAACTTCCTTAGTTCTTACCTTCAAATTTATAACTCACCCTTCCCCCCATACCAGCTGCAACTTGTGAAGGCCTCTTCCTTTCTATTTGCTCTTGCTGAAAAATGGATTGCCAACGTTGCATCTTTTGCAGAAAATTAGAGACGCTGCTACTACTTGCTAAGTGACACCATTCAGTAGAGTTTGGGGACCGGATCCAATATGAAGAGGGAAATGGCTCACAGAGACGTTCCCAGCATTAACCCCTGGAACGCCAAGAAGGAAGGTGTCATTTAAGACTCAATTTGGGGTGCTAAAATTTGAACTTATTTTGCATTGTGAAATGGCATCCTTTTCTATCTCTTTACCTCATTTTATCTAAACCTTGATCAATATTTACTTTTTTTTTTTTAACCTTTTCTTTGGTTATAATTGCTCAACATTTTAATTGAAATAGAAAAGAATCTGGTTTAGAATCAGCAGAGTACCTTGGTCATAGTAGGTGCTCAGTAAATATTTGTTGAATGAGTTAAAAAAGGAGTTTGCTACTCCTAATCGCTTAATAACGGGATGTCTTTTTATTAATGCAAGTTTGTCAAATTTTCTTAAATCCAAGTTGCATCTAAACAGGATCCTCACCATTTCTGCATGTTACAAAGATAGAATTTTATTTTAATTAATTAATTAATTATGTTGTGAGGGCCACCTTCATTCTGGCAGCATACCTATTACCAGAAAGTGCACTTGTACCCAATTATCCCCAATCTCCCTCCCCCCCCACACACTTTGTAACCCAAGGAATGTTTTCTCCCTCTGCAAGACCAATGCACTACTGTGGTCTTTCTTTTCTCCCTTCTTTTTCTCTTAGCTCCCATATATGAGTGAGCACATGCAGTATTTATCCCTCTGTGCTTTGCTTATTTCACTCAACATAAGTTTCTTCAGGTTCATCCATGTTGTTGCAAGTGATAGTATTTCATTCTTTTTTATGGCAGAGTAGTATTCCATGGTGTATATATAGCACAGTTTCCTTATCCAATCATCCATCAATGGACATTTATGTTGGTTCCATATCTTGGCTATTGTAAAAAGAGCTGTAAACTGAGAGTGCAGTTATCACTTCAACATGATGATTTCCATTCCTTTGGGTATATACCCAGAAGGGAGATTGCTGGATTGTATGGAAGATCTATCTGTAGTTTTTTGAGAAACTTCCATACTGTTTTCCATAGTGGTTGCACTAATTTACAGTCCCACCAACAGTGCAGTAGTGTTCCCTTCTCTCCACACTCACGCCAACATTTGTTATTCACCGTCTTTTTGATTATAGCCAGTCTAACTGGGGTGAGGTGGTATCTCGATGTAATTTTAATTTGCATTTCACTGATGACTAGTGATGTTGAGCATTTTTTCATGTATCTGTTGGACATTTGTATGTTTTCCTTTGAAAAATGTCTATTCACCTCCTTTGCCCATTTTTTGATTGGGTTATTTGTTTTTTTACTGTATAATTGCTTAAATTCTATGTATATTCTGTATATTAATCCGTTGTCAGATGTACAGTTAGCAAAAATTTTCTCCCACTCTGTAGGTTGTCATTTCACTCACTTGATTGTTTCCTTTGCTGTGCAGAAGATTTTTAGTTTGATATAGTCCAGTTTGATTATTTTTTCTTTTGCTGCTGTGCTTTCAGGCTCATGTCCATAAAGCCTATGCCCAGACCTAATTGCTGAAGTGTTTCGCCTATATTTTCCCTTAGTAATTTTACAGTTTTAGATCTTGTACTTAAGTCTTCAATCCATTTTGAGTTGATTTTAGTGTATGGTGAGAGATGCATATCTAGTTTCATTCTTCTGCATATATGGATATCCAGTTTTCCCACCACCACTTGTTGAAGAGGCAGTCTTTTCCCCAATGCAGATTTTTGTTGCCTTTGTCCAATATCAGATGGCTATAAGCTTGAGGGGAGATTTCTGGGTTCTCGATTCTACTCCACTGGTCTGAATGTCTATTTTTATACCAGTACCATGCTGTTTTGGTTACAATAGCTTTGTAGTATAATTTGGAGTCAGGTAGTGTTATGCCTCTGGCTTTATTATTATTATTTTTTTTGGCTCAGGATTGCTTTGGCTATTTGGGGTCTTTTGTTTTTCCATATGAAAGGTAGGATTGTTTTTTCCATTTCTGTGAAGAATGTCATTGGTATTTTGATGGAGATTGCACTGAATCTGTATATTGCTTTGGGTAGTATAGACATTTTCACAATGTTAATTCTTCTAATGCAAGAGCATGGAATATCTTTCCATCTTTTTGTGTCTTTAATTTCTTTCAGAAGTGGTTTGTAGTTCTCACTGTAGTCACTGTAGAGGTCTTTCACTTCCTTGGTTAAATTGATCCCTAGGTATCTCATTTTTTGTGTGACAGTTGTAAAGATGGGCTTACTTTCTTTATTTCTCTTTCTGTTTATTCATTATTTGAGTATATAAATGCTACTGATTTGGGGGCATTTATTTTGTATCCTGCAACATTACCGAAATTATTAACCAGCTCTAGGAGTTTTTAAATAGTCTTTAGGTTTTTCTATATACAGTATATTGTCATCTGCAAATAGAGAAAGTTTGACTTCACCTTGTCCAATCCGAATTCCCTTTATTTTTTTCTCTTGCCTGATTGCTCTGGCTAGTACCTCCAGTACTATGTTAAATAGAAGTAGTGAGAGTGGGCATCCTTGTCTTGTTCCTGTTCTTAAGGGAAAGGCCTTCAGTTTTTCTCCATTCAGAATGATACTGGCAGTGGGCTTGTCATAAATGGCTTTCATTGTGTTGAGCTATTTTCCTTCTATACCTAATTTGTTGAGAGTCTTTATCATGAAGGGATGTTGAATTTCGTGAAATGCTTTTTCAGCATCTATTGAGATAATCATATGGTCTTTGTCCTTGAGTTTGTTGATGTGACGTATCACATTTATTGGCTTTTGTATGTTGAACCATCCTTGTATCCCTGGGATGAATCCCACTTGATCATAGTGCTTAATTTTTTTAATATGTTGCTGTATTCTGATTGTTAATACTTTGCTGAGGATTTTAGCATCTAGGTTCATCAAGGATATTGGCCTATAATTTTCTTTTTTTGTTGTGTCTTTATCTGGTTTTAGTATCAGAGTTATGTTGGCCTCATAGAATGAGTTTGGGAGAGTAGCATCTGTTTCAATTGTTTGGAAGAGTTTGAGGAGAATTGGTATTAAATCCTCTTTAAAAGTTTGATAGAATTCAGCTGTAAAATCATCTGGACCCAGACTTTTCTTTTTTGAAAGATTGCTAATTACCACTTCAATCTCCTTGCTTGTTATTGGTCTGTTTAGGTTTTCCATCTCTTCTTGGTTCAGTCTCGGTAGTTTGTTTGTGTCTAGAAACTTATCCATACCTTCCAGATTTTTGTATTTGTTGTCATACAGTTGTTTATAATAGTCTCTAATGATTTTTTGTATTTCTGTGTTATCAGTTGTAATGTCTCCCTTTTCATTTCTGATTTTTGTTATTTGGGTCTTCTCGCCCTTTTTTTTTTTTTTGTTAGCCTAGCTAATGGTTTGTCTATTTTATCTATCTTCTCGAAAAACCAACTTTTTGTTCTGTTACTTCTTGTATTGTTTTTTGGGTCTCTATTTGATTTAGTTCTGCTCTGATCTTAATTATTTCTTTCTGTCTACTACCTTTAAGCTTGGTTTGCTGTTGGTTTTCAATTTTTTTGAGGCATAGTGTTAGGTCGTTTATTTGAATTCTTTCTATTCTTTTGATATAAGCATTTATTGCAATAAATTTGTCTCTTAGTACTTCTTTTGCAGTATCCCATAGGTTTTGGTATGATGTGTCTTTATTTTCATTGGTTTCCTGTTTAATTTTTTGATTTCCTGTTTAATTTCTTCTTGGACACATAGGTCATTCAGGAGCCTATTATTTAGTTTTCATGTATTCGTATAGCTTCTAGAGTTTTGCTTATTGTTTATTTCCAATTTTAGTCCCTTGTGGTCTGAAAAGATAGTTGGAATGATTTCAACTTTTTAGAATTTCCTGAGACAAGATTTGTGAGCTAATATTTGGTCTATCCTGCAGAATGTACCATGAGCTGATGAGAAGAAAGTGTATTCTTTAGTTGTTGGTGAAATGTTCTGTATATATCTGCCAAGTCCAGTTGGTCTAGGGTATAGATTAAATCCTGTGTCTCTTTGTTAACTTGTTGCCTGGAAGATCTGTCCCATACTGAGAGAGGTGTGTTCAGATCACCCACTATTAATGTATTAGGACCTATTTCTTTCTTTAGGTCTAAGAGTGTTTGCTTTATATATGTGGGTGCTCCAGTATTGGGTGCATGCATGTTTATGATTGTTATGTCTTCTAGCTGGATAGATTCCTTTATCATTATATAGTGGCCTTCTTTGTCTTTTT